TTTTCTTTCAATCTTTCTGTCTCGGAATACTAACTCCATTACGTTTATTACATAGAGACATGAAATCTCAACTTCTCTTGGGAATTAGACATGCCAATAGGCAACAACCCGCTCTTTCCTCGTCGGTTATTTCGAGCGATAGTATGCATATCGGAATCCTCGCTGCCGCAGCTCATGCTGCTGCTAATAACAGTCCCTTCACCATATTCTACAATCCGAGGTATGATTTCTAAGTTCCCTCTTTTATCCGTCACTATGATTTTCTGTGTTGCAATATCCGAGAGAAATTCTCGCACAAGGAACCCTAACGAGCTCTTGTAGAACAGAGCTCGAGCCACCAACTAACTGAACTGACTCTTCCCCTGAAATTCCGTTTCTACCCTTTGCCAAAACCGACCTTTTTTTGGTTAAGGGCATTTGGTTCTGGTTCAGCTCCAGTCCAATCTCTCAATCAACCTCTGATAGAACCAGAGGCTTACCCTGAGATTGCCATGTTTTGTATGGCCGTTGCTGAGATATTGTTTTGGGCTTTTGCAGGGCTGCTCCTGCTGAGTTTGTAGTTCCTTTAGCAAAGTACACAAAGGCAATGTATGCTCAAGTGTCTCTTGGCATGCGGTTTAGGATGATGTTCGAGACGGAAGATTGCGGGGTCCGTAGGTATATGGGCACTGTAACCGGGATTAGTGACTTGGACCCGGTACGATGGAAAAACTCGCAGTGGCGGAATCTTCAGGTACATCTTGGTGAAAAACTCAATGATGTTTATTCGTCCACCCGAATGCATGATCTGTTCCGTTTCTTTTTCGCTTACCTTGCTTGGTTCTCGAACCAGGTTGGATGGGATGAATCTGCTGCCGGTGACCGTCCCAGTCGGGTTTCGGTTTGGGATATCGAACCGGTCTTGACGCCTTTTTACATATGCCCGCCTCCATTTTTCAGACCTATGTTCACTGGACAACCTGGAATGCCTGGTAAGCTTTGAATTTTGTTCTTTTTCAGACAATATATTTTGATCTCGTTCTGTTTCACACTGATGCTGATTTCTAGTTTCTCTAGTTAGATACTGATGCTCGAATATGTTTTACTTGCAGATGATGAGAATGATATAGAGAATGCTCTGAAGAGAGCGATGCCGTGGCTCGGGGATAGCTTTGGCATGAAGGATTCATCGAGCTCAATATTTCCGGGGCTAAGTTTAGTTCAATGGATGAATATGCAGCAAAACGGGCAGTTACCCGTTGCTCAATCGGGATTCTTCCCTTCCATGGTCTCACCATCCGCTGTCCACAACAATCTCGGGTCCGAGGATTCTTCCAAGTTACTGAATTTTCAGGCACCTGCCGGGCTCTCCTCCCCGAATCTTCAGTTCAACAAACCGAATCCACAAGCGCAGTTGCCCCAGTTGCCGCAGCCACCCACTACGCTGTCCCAACAACAGCAGCTGCAGCCACTGTTGCAGACTTCTCTGAA